TTTTCCCTCTTTTAAAATAATTGCCTTTAAGTTAAAAACACATTCAAGCACTGATCAAGCAAGCTGTCATTTGTAATTAACCCCTCACCTGCACTGCCCAACAAGGAAGCAGGGAGGGGGGATGCGCGCACGGCACGAACACACGCACGAGCACAGACGCGCAAATAATTGTGTCTGGAAGTAAACAAATGGTTGTTGATCCATTACGAGTGATTAGGTTATTTTCCTTCGTGTGTTCAAACAATACGTTTAATTCAGTCGGTTCATAAATGATCCCCAGGCGTTTGGAGGAAATATCCCTGCTGTTTCCGGCCTGTTTCTGGACATCTTCACTAAACTTCACCTGTGATTTTGCAATACGAACACGAGCACCTGTGGTTTAAGATATATAACAGTATTTTTGTACACCCGAGCATTGACTGTGCCGTGCCCAACACACTGCAGCATGTCGACACACTCTGTTCTGATAAAGTCATCAGCAACGCCAGCGTCTCTCACATTGTTCAGGATACTATGTGCTTAAATAGCAGCACTTTCTCAATGACGTGTTGCGCATGATCTGAATATTGAAAATCAGACGGGAAACCTGGAAGAACGCAGTGTCACCACAACCTACACATGCTTTAAAATAAGTGAAACGCTTACCTTTTGGAGAACTGACGTGTGAACTCAATTCTGCAATGAAAGGAGACATTGAGCCTTCGTGAGAATACATAAAAATAACTGTATGCATACAAAAAAAAATCAAAAAAAATCGTGTCTTGTATGACAGTCTGAGCAGAGGCTGCACAACAGATGATTGACGGCGGGGTTTTTGGTGTTTCTGTCCGCGGTCGAGTCTCTGATTGGCTGCCTTCATCCCCAGCCATGAATGCTGTGCTACGATTGGCTGCGAGTCTTTGCCAGCTGTACTTCAAAGAACACGCTCTCTACAACTAGGTAGTGTTGGGAGCTGCGAGCCAAGAGAGAAACCGTGTGACCTGAGTCAAACACGGTGAGTCTGAATCAAATTGGAGCCTTACAGCATTGAAATCGCGAACACTCTCATCACAGCACAGACCCTGGATATGGCAACGTCTATACTTGGGGTGAGTCTGACTTTGTATTTGTGCGCAAAAGTTGTGCGTAAAGTTATTGTAGACTACTCTCTTCTGCAACTGAAAGTGCTTGCTGCTTACATAAACATGCTTGCTTTCATGTTTGCACTAATGATCTCCAACTGTGTTACTAACTTGTTAATTATTATTTAAAAATAGTTACATGCCGATAAAGACGTGTAGGATTGTGTTTTATTATGTTATTTGTGTGTATATTCACAGCAGATATCTGACATAGTTAGTATACTGAGAAAGTTTAAAGTTTAAAAAAAATGTAAATAATTATTTCTTGAACGTTAGCCTGTGTTTTATGTATGGCTTTTTAAAATACGATTCTCCTCTCGCTCCAAAACATTTAACTTAGCTCCAACTATTCTTTTTAGATGTTGTTATTATTTATTTAACTAAAGTCTTATTTGTTTGTAATAAGTCATCTGCTAAAGATATTCGGGTTGAATAGAAAAACATTTATATATTCCAATGTTGTTGCCCGTTTTAAGTCCAACTTGTGTGTGTGTTTTCAGGAAGAGCCACGGTTTGGAACTACACCTCTAGCAATGCTGGCTGCAACTTGCAACAAAATTGGTAACACCAGTCCTCTTACAACTTTACCTGACTCGAGCGCTTTCTCAAAAGGTGGATTTCATCCGTGGAAGAGATCCTCCTCCAGCTGCAACTTGGGATCCAGTCTGCCCGGTTTCACAGTAGCAACAAGCCGCGCGCCGTCAGGACTAACAGCGAGCAGTGGCGCAGGGAACAGCGCCTTCTGCTTTGCCTCCACCTCCCCGACCTCCTCTGCCTTTTCCACAGAGTACAGCGGTCTGTTCTCCAACTCTGCGAGCGTCTCATCCCAAGATTCTGGACAGTCAGCTTTTATCTCCAAAGTCCACACATCAGCAGAGTCTCTTTACCCTCGGGTGGGGATGGCGCACCCGTATGAGTCTTGGTACAAGTCCGGTTTCCACTCGACCATCTCTGGCGAAGTTGCCAACGGTGCGTCCTCGTGGTGGGACGTCCACACTAACCCTGGGTCGTGGCTTGATGTCCAGAATCCTGCCGGCACCCTCCAGACCTCACTGCACACCGGGGCACCTCAAAGCATCCACTCCCAGCTGAGTGGCTACAACCCGGACTTCTCCTCGCTGACGCACTCAGCGTTCAGCTCCACAGGAATCAGCCCCACCGCGTCCCACCTCCTGTCCACCGGGCAGCACCTGTTAACTCAGGACGGGTTCAAAACTGTCATCCCCACTTACACAGACGCTTCTGCTGCCAACGCCATGATTTCTGGGGGCAGTTCAGGAATAAGTAGCTCCTCAAGGTCGTCCCGGCGGTACTCCGGCAGAGCAACATGTGACTGTCCGAACTGCCAGGAGGCTGAGCGGCTGGGACCCGCCGGGGCCAGTCTGCGCAGAAAGGGACTCCACAGCTGCCACATTCCCGGCTGCGGTAAAGTGTACGGTAAGACGTCTCACCTCAAAGCGCATTTGAGATGGCACACCGGTGAGCGGCCTTTTGTCTGCAACTGGCTTTTCTGTGGCAAAAGGTTCACTCGGTCCGATGAGCTCCAAAGACACCTCCGCACACACACCGGAGAGAAAAGGTTTTCTTGCCCGGTGTGCAACAAGCGCTTTATGCGGAGTGACCATTTGAGCAAGCACATCAAAACGCACACGGCCGGTGGAGGAAGCAAAAAGGGAAGCGACAGTGACACCGACACCAGTAACCAGGAGACCCCGAGGTCCGAGTCCCCAGAACTTATTATGGAGGGGGTGAATCCCAGAATCAATGTTAAGGACCATGAGTCTCCTCACGACGAGCCCTAATGAGGCTTCATCCAACAACAACAAAAAACAGATTAAAAAAATGCACAGCATAGAAAAACGGGTCTTATTTGAAAGACAATAAAAAGGAGAAAATATTCCAAGAGGAGATTGCAAAATCAAAAACATATATTCTCCACAGACGTTTCATTCGTAAACCCATCAAAAGAAAACAGTGCTTTACTGTAGGCCTTTGGGGATTTTTAGGGGCAACTTGAAAACGAAATGGATGTTTGGTAAGGGTGAGCGAAACCTGTTGAATTTTGGTTGGACAATGTGAGTTACACCTTGTATATTGACGACTAAACTATTTGTTATTTTCATGTAAATGTTAGGCTATGATTGTTTTATTCGTGTTGGTATCCTGGAAATCAGGGAGTTTACTTTCGACGCACTTTGTGGATATGTATGTACACAGCTTTTTCAACTTTGGTTAACCATTTTATTTCTTTGCTAAAAAAATATCTATATATAAATGTTTACCTGTATAAAGTCACACGTATAAGACTTTCATTTTATCGTAATTAAAACATCTTTAAAAAAGGCTGAAATTGTGTGATGTAAATTTTATATATTTTTGTGTTATTATTATTGTGAGGGTTTTAGTTAAAAAAAATGTTTATTTAATTTTGAATTGTATTTTTAAACGAGTGTTGCTCGTTTACTAATACTCTAAATATCACCTATAACACCTTGACTTTCACTATTTCCCCTATGGAATAAATCAATGTTTAATGCCCCGGAAAAAAACATTTCATGCCCAAATGAAAACCTTGTTAAATGGTATTAATTATGACTTGGAGCACATCGCAGCCCCATGCGTCTTGTATTTGCGATTAGGGATTCGTGTCTTATCAAATATCTAATTAATCTCCGAGACATCTTTTGTTCACTTTCACTTTATCGGGGGGTTTCCGAGGGGGTTTGACGACAAAGGGCCCTGAATATTTATTCTAATTGTCCAAATTAACTGCTTTCATTTGCATACCAATCGGTGGACCGATAATACGGATACGGCGTCTTTCTCTTTGCCAGGAGCCACATAGATGTTATGGGAACAGTTTTTAAACTTTAGAAAAAGAAGGGGCAAAGAGTCACATGCAAATGTTTGAATTTAAAATGCTCTTTGCTCAGAACAGTCAAATGGTGCCTGCACGGTATTTGAATATCAGTGGCCCCGTGTTGAAAGGGTTCAAGGATGCTCTCTGACTTCTTTGTGCTTACCCAGTGCAGCGTCCGACTCTCAAAGAAAACCCGGGGAATAATTACAGCGTGGGTCCAGGACAGGGAATACGTCAGGGAGCAGCATCTCATCCAGACACCCTCTTTTTTTTGAAGAGGATGTTAAATTGACCAGAAGGCAATAGAGGGAAATTATTTCAATTTCCCCTTTGTGCCACAGCGGCGCTAAGGAAACGGCCACATCGTGAAAACTAGCAAATTAAATGCACAATCTGAATTTCATCAACAACAACAAAAGCTAAACGCAACACTTGAGCATTTTTTTTTAAATTAAAGCTTCTTGCATCACATGTACAAAAAGTAAATCTGAGATAAAGAATTGAATTGTTGCCATGTTTTATTTTACAAAATGTATTTTGTCTCAAATTAAATGTGTAATTTTAGGACATACAATAACAGGTTAAACATTTTGTCACATTTAATTAAAAATAATAATTGTTAAAAATAAATGTACACAGTTTAAAACATGTATTTAAATGCTAAATACTGATGTTCATTAATAAAACAAATATAGGCTAGTGCAGCTGCCGTTTCGTTTGCTGAATTTACGCTTGACATTTAGATATAAATAATATTTGTTGTTGAAGCCTGCAAAAAACCAACAGGAAATATATATATCATTATGAAAAACACAAATAGTGTCATATCATTCAGGGAAACCGGACAAAAAAACAAAACAATAAAAATAAATAAACATTGTAATTAGTTTCTGATAAGTAGCCTAATAGTAATATTTTATCGGCAGGTGCCCGGACCTAAAGGCATGTTAGTATTTAGTGGGAATACACTAACAGTGCTAAATTATAGACTTTCTTTCATCCATCGCAAAACAAACCCATTTTGGAGAGAATTTAAAATTTAATCAGAAAATAAAATATCGAGACTTTTTTTTTCGGAATCAACAGCCGTCCAAGCATTACATCTTACAATGACGATATTTCCCAAAAAGACACAATAATGAATGCAATATATAAAAAAAACTGCATCGCAGAAAATGGTCTTCCGGTGGCCAACTGACCATTAAAATGAGTCCAATATTTTTCCATCAACGGATCATAGCTGCAAATTGCTTGCAATGGTTATCAATTAATCTAGACTCTTCCAAACAACACAAGGGCACAACGAGCTGCATCTGGATATTATCTGTCCACTGCTTCCCTCTACTGGAGAAAAAAGGAAAACCTACTGAACAATATCTGCAATTTAAATAGAGAGACAGTTATAGTGTTCTCAGTAATCACAGAGTCATCACAAAAGGGGATTCAACATATTTTGTCCAATATTGTAAGAGAGGAAAACAGCTAAACAGTCAGTGCCTTGTTTTGGCTCCGTCTTGGCTTCTTTCCTTTCTCTCCCTACTCCTGCTTCTCCCCATGCCATCTCTTTCCTTCCTCCTCTCCCTGCTTCTGGTCCTCCCATCTGCTGTTCTGCCTCTCCTTCCATCTGGGCTGCTTCTGTTCCTCTCAACATCTCTGCTGTGACGCCCGTCTCTCCCTCTCTCCTCCCTGCCTCTCTCGCCGCTCCTGCTTCTGTCCACGGCAGAGCTGCTAGGTCTCTCTCTGTCCCTGCTGTTGTGTCTCTTTCTCTCTTGACCTCCCTCCTGCTTGATCTTGTTCTCTGGGATAAGACTACAACTCCCGCTCCTTCCCCTCTCTGTCCTTGTTTGTCTATAATCTCCCGACTTCTCTTCAGGCCGCTTGTGTTCGGCGTGAGGGCTCTGTGACCTGCTTCTGTGAGAGGAGGCCTTTTTCTGACTCTTGACTCGCCGCTCGCTCTTAGAGCTGTTATCCCGACAGGAATCTTTTTTCTTGTTCTTCTTTTTCTTTTGGCTCTTGAACTTGCCATGGCTGTCTGAATCTGAGTCACTATCACTACTACTGCTGCTGCTGCTGCTGCTGCTGCTGCTGCTGCTGCTATCGGAGGAGTCACTCGAGCTGTCACTACTTTCAGCCTTTTTTTTGTGTTTTCTCTTGCTCTTCTTCTTCTGTTTCTTGCTCTTCTTTTTCTTCGCCTTCTCTTTGTCCAGGCGATCAAGTTTTCTGTAAAACAAGATCACAAATGTTCAATTAAGATTTCTACAAGGCAGCAGGTAACCGAATATTATAAACAAAAATACATTCTAATAAACACATTTGAGTTGAAATTAATGTAAAACACTTCATCCAAATAGGAAACCATGCAGCAATGCAAAAAAAGATGCCTTTCACTTTTGACAGTTGATAATATACTAAGATTCAAATATATTTCTATCGCTCCATATAAAACAGTGACCTAGTAATTCATCAGATGGTTTTTAAACATTATTTTCCTTCAGTTTATTCTATAAATTAGGCAAAAAATATTCAAACAGTGTTACAAAAATATTAATAATCTCGTTCAGTCATAAATTAATTTTTTTTTTTAATGTGCTTTAAATGTTTTTACCTGAGGAGCTTTTGTTTTTCCTTTTTCGTCAATGACTTAAGAAATGCCACTTCGGGATCTTCCTCATCCTCACTGGCAACATATTCCTATAAAAGCACACAGCACATTTACATGAAAGCATATAGATAAATATAACTCTCAAAGGCACATTTTGTAAATCTCAAAGTGAATACATCAGCTGAAAACCTTTTGAAAATCAAACAATTCATTTTATCCATATCATTTAGTCTACTTGACTTAAGCTACCTCAATAACAGCATTCATATATTGTAAGGACATATAAGAGACGTAGTCGGTCTTTGTCCCCCTGAAGGGTAAAGTATACATGTGTGTGTGTGAATATATCATCCTATGTGTGCAAAGAAGGGAGTGTGAGACAGACAATTACCTGCGATATATCACAAACAGTAGAATTTCTACCAAGGACACATTTTTTCAGGGCAAACCCACTGTTTCGCATCTCCGCTATTAACTCCGAGGGGTGCATCGACGGACCTGTTAGCACAAATCACAGCGTCAGAGTCCCATTGATGTCAGACCCACGCCAGCCACTATCTCCACAGTGGGAATTTCAGGGGCGGCTTTGTTAACAGAATGGGACATCAAATCAACTCACTCTACTTCCGGCTGAGCAAATCATACAATATCATGCTCTGCCAAAGCAGCAGTTAGGGGAATCAGAATACACAATAATTACTTTTTTTTCTCCCGGCACAGGAGGGGGACCATTACAGCACTCCACCATCAACACCATGCACTGACTGGACTCTCCCAAGGAAACATTATTTCTTTACTGCGCTATCCGCTGATTGCAGAAGTCTGGGAGCTCCAGCTGAACCCCGAGGGGAATGATTCAGTGTACCTGCTGCAAAATCTGCGACAGACTGAAGCTCACACTCACCACCACTCACACTGGCTCCTTATAATATAGTACGACATACCATAATCCTACTGTTTTTTCCCATTGCATAACCAAGAACACCCATGTTTTAGAAGTATATATCTCAGCAGGTCAAGTATCAACATATTAATAAACTGTTAATGATTACTTCCTTTATTTGATCACATATTTAAATGCTGTATTTATAATGTTGATATGCTTGTATGCAAATGCTTGTATAAATGAATGAATTACTCTGTTTTAATTCAATAGCAACACGCTATCTGTATATAAAATGGTTGTTGTGTGTTTACAGAGATATCAAAATAACATTTGATTATTTTGATAAACAAAGACACTGCTGGAGAAGGCGTTTAAAAAGTCTGTTTCAGATTTTAGATAATGACTGCATGTACTCTACCTGGTGCCTCCTCGGGGGCCACAGCGCTGGCATTGATACCCGACAGACCATAGAGGGGACACTCTCTGTCTGTGTTCACGTGGCCCCATTTGTGACATTTGATGCACCGCACGTTGCGCACCTGGGGGGTTCACAACAACACACATTATGGAAAATAGTGCAGATGTACCATTCATTTCATAGACAAACCAATAATCTACAAATCCTTTCTAAACATGATGGCATCACATACTTTAAGGCTAAATCGATTAGTTTAATGTCCAATTTTTGGTTATAATTTTTTTTTTTTTTTTTACTTTGTTCACTAATGTATGCAGTTTCTTTAATAATACAGTGGATCCCAATCTTATACGTTTACTGCTACATCTTAGACAGATATGGGTGTCATTTATTCTGTTTAGATTTGTATCAACCTGTGTGCACACTAGATTTAAATCACAGGTGCATCCTATATATATCCTTAAAATAATAAAAATTCATCACATACCTGGATTCCAAACGGCTGATCTCTAATATTCATGTCATCCTTCGCATATCTACACGAAAAATTAAGGATTAAATAGAATGCAAATGTTGCAGCGCACTTGAGAATATTTCTATAAAATGTAGGTTTGTTTCAAAGAAAAATACTTACTTCTCTCTCGGAGCCGTTTTCTGCCACTCAAATTTGTACTCTTCTTCCCCATCCTGAAAAGAAGACACATGTTCATTACACATTTTAGTATACAAGCCTTTCTATTTATAAATGAGTGGAAAACCGTTGTAAAGAAAGAAAAAGAGTGGAACCGAATGGATAAATAATTTGCTTGACTTTACCTCTTTTGTTTCCTCTTCAGGAGAGAAGACGATTATGAAAAAAAAGCAAACAAGTATTAATGAAGTTTATCATTTCTTTCTTAAGAATCAGGTGTTTGGAATAAGGTTCATAGGATTAAGTAACCACTGACCTTTGGATGCTCCCGGTGGAGCCTCGTACATGAAATTGAGGCCATTTTTAACACGATCATCCCCCATCAACACCCTAGAGGTAATAAGATTCAAGGCCTTATTGTCATGTGCACAATAGCTACAGTGTAGATATGGCAATGAAAAACTTAAGTCACAGGCTCCTCCAACAGCGCAACATGAATATATATAGGACATAGAACAAATACAACTGATAAATAAAATAAAATAGTGCAAGAGAATGTTTTGAGATGTGTAATGTACAAAATAAAATTGAAATAATGCAAGAAGAGCCTATATACAAGTAAATGGAATGTATAGATAAATAATTTGCAGAATGGAAAACACAACAAAAACATGTTATTTTAGTTACTTTCTATTGATGGTGATTTTCAACATTTACCACAACATTAGAGGAAGTATTTATTTTTTAAATGATTGTATAAGTTAATGTAAAGTAAATAAAAACCTTTCCATTTACTGAGAAGGACATTTACACGTTACGTTTTAATCAATAAACCCAAATTAAATGCAATTCAAAAATAAATCAGTAGGTCATGAGGTGGTTTAAGGTTACAATTATATATTTATCAAACCTGTTGTTGTAACAATCCTGTTCCTTCATGTACGCCTGCATGAGATCTTCTTGCTTCTTCTTGTCGAAGGTTATTTTCTGTTCTGCTATCCATACCTGTAAGAAAAGGATGAAATCAAGGATTACTCCACACATCTCCCTACTTCTTCATACACTTAAACACATTCTCAGTCAGATGGCTTGCTGCCTGACACACAATATTTGTAAAGGTAACTTTACAACAATGAGTAGCCAGCAAGAATTGTATAACCTATACTTTTTGGCTTAAATTATTCATCATCAATGTTATTGTTACAGTCACATTCATCAACAGAGAGAAATCCTTATGGGTTACAGCTAAAACTAAAGCACATGAATGAGTAGAGCATGCAATCATTGAATGTATCTTCAAATGTATTTATTTGAGAGGACGTCATGTGTATAAACATTGTTAGTCTCGAGAACTGATTTATACTACAGGGAGCGGAGAGACGACTCTCATTAAAAGTTAGCATTAGACTACATCTAGACACAATGATAGCACTACATATAATGTATATTGAATCGCATTAACAATCAACAAAGTAAACAAATACAGTATTAGTTTGGGTGGTCCATTTTTGCTAATAGTATCTTTATCTTTTAAAGACGACGATAGTAAAAGTAGACTAAAGTAACTTTAAGTTAGCGATGTCTTTCTGTACTGTAACGTTAGCTTTACGTTACCGACCAAAAAACAACAATGCGAGCACACAATGTAGACTAACCATCGTATATGGTTTGTATATAATTGACACATAAACACTACTGAGTGGGAATCATTTTTATCAAACAATTGTCAAAGTGGATTGTGTTAGCTTAAGCTTAGTAGCAAATTGGGCTAGCATATCAACGGTTAGCATTGCTCGCTAGTTGGCTAACGTCTTCTACCCTCAAGCTGTAATGCTAAGTGTAGCAACCACTCACCTTTTTGATATTTGACTTCGACGCAGGATGAAAATCCTTCTTGCACATGAAATTGGCAAACGACTTCCCCATGGCTGACAACTGTTAATGTCACCTGAATGGAAATCGTAGCGTTAGTGTTGGCTAAGAGAGTTGCTAACGTAGCAGGTAGCAGCCTCCGAGTGCGCATGTAAACAAATCCGTCTGCAGGAAGTCGGTTCTGTGTTGGTGCTACAGGGAGCCGTTGAAAACATAAACGCGTAACGCTTTAAACTACATTTATTTGTTCATTCTTTATGCATCAAGTATTTACATTGAAATATAGTAACATCATTTGTATCTTTTTAATTGGGTTTGTCCATGGGATTTTGATAATGAAATCATAAATTAAATGACACAATAATGATTTCCTGACAACAAATCTTCAAACAATTATTAAATAAAATAGAAAAATGTATATGTTTTAGGAACACCAACTGCCATCGTAACAATAAAGGATTACAACAAAAAACTATAATGTAAAAAAAGTAACAACACTACTTGGATAACAAATATAAAACGGACTTCAGCTTGGTCACGTGACTGTGTGACTGTTTCCGTGTGAGACTACAGTGTGAACTGTGACGGTGAGCTCAAATGGAAACCTAAAAGAAAATAGAAACTTATAGTGACAGACAGAGCTCAGTAAGACCTAAGACTGGCAGACACAGGTAAGCGTACCTTGTTGAATGATGAATATAATTACAAACAACTCAATTACTCTGCACATTTGTCTTGCTCTCTCAGGTAACTTTAGGTCTAAATCTGATTTAATACCAATGTCGTATTGGCTAATAAATATGGTGCAAAGTGTACTATTGGCTGCTAATGTTAAGGCCTTTTTCAAAACCTGTTTAACTACAAATGTAACCCACTCAATGTACTGATCCTTATGTTTATGACTTTCAGAAAGTTTTTGATTCAAAATGCACCCATCCTCCTGTGACACCTTCGTGGCTCTGCCCCCCTCCACTGAGAGACAATGCATCATCTTTGGGAAAAACTCTGACAGGCCTTGTGATGAAGTTCAGGAGGTGGTCTATTTTCCTGCCAGAGATTTTGATGCAGGGGAGAAGGTTGAGGTAGGCGACACAGACAGCTTGTTATTGCCCTCCAACCTTCAATTTCACAATTGCCCACAATGACTGCTCTTTGGTGAAAGTGCCATGGGGTAACCATTAACAGTTTTTCTCTTCTTTATCTTGTGAACAGTGTACATACATAGAGATCGAGCAGGTTGCCCACACTTATGCAGTGATGTTGAGCAAACCAGCATGGCTGTGGGGCGCAGAAATGGGCGCAAATGAGCATCAAGTGTGTATTGGAAATGAAGCAGTGTGGGGCAGAGAGAGTGCAGATGGTGACGAAGCTCTTCTCGGTATGGATCTTGTCAGGTAAAGCCCCTGTAAAATAGATTGTTGGAAATGTAATAACATCCAGAAAACCATTTTTGAGAAACACTCAATGACGAAGCAAAACATCATTTTCTGACTCTACCATTTTCAAGGCTTGGACTTGAGAGAGCGGATACAGCTGAGAAAGCTGTGGATGTTATCACTGAGCTGCTGGAGAAATACGGCCAGGGAGGATCGTGCATGGAGGATCAGGGAAGCTTCACCTACCACAACAGCTTCCTCATCTCTGACAGGAAGGAGGCATGGCTGCTGGAAACATCAGGGAAGCACTGGGCAGCAGAGAGAAGGCAAGGTAATTAGAAAACAGTAAACAAAGAATAACGTTCACATTTATTGTGTTTATCTGTATATATGCTGTCGGAGAAATGCCAAATATACTGTATGTTTGAAAGAGTCTATTAAAGTTGCAACCCAAGAAGCCACAAAGATCCCAGCTGTCAACAAGCACCATCATCCTCTGTATACATGATTTGAACCCTTTTTTCTTTAGCAAACCTATAACTTACTAACAAAATATGTTTTTTATTTAATTTGATATTTAAATATGTACACCCAAACCCATGGGCCTACCAAAACAACAAGTATGAATGTTCACTTAGTTTTGTTTATGTGGCGCACCAGGATCAACAGCTCTGTCAGCACTCCAGCTGGCCCTGCCTGTTTGGTAAACAAAGGGCTGGTTGATATCGCTGACATCAATGCCATGATTAACTGTCACACTTTGGTAACAATAATTAAAATGCTACCTTGTTAAATAAACCTGGGCACAAGATTATCCTTCTTCAAAGTGGAGCTATTATTATTATTCTATCAAAGTAAAATAGTGAAATACTTTCCGATGTTCTAATGTTTATTCTTTTTGTCATCTACCATATTGTCCCTGTCAGGTTGTTCTCTGAGTAGCTGCCAATCAAATTTCTTATTATGATCATCATGCCTTGACATTTTTCTGCATTAAAGGCCTGAGTTTTTTTTACAACACATTACACTGCTTAGGTTGCTATCAAATATTGTTAAATTCAAGTATAATTGCTAATCTTCTTGTTTTTACTTCTAGCTGGATATCGCAACATCTCAAACGAGTATAGCATAAAAACTAAGATCGACAAGGAACACCCAGAATTGAGGAAATATGCACAGAGCAAAGGCTGGTGGGATGGAAAGACTCAGTTCAACTTTTCCACGGTCTACTCCTTTACCACTACAGCCAGAATAGAAGCTGCTGGGAGCCGATACTGTGAGGGGAAGAAGTTGCTGAAAAAGAGCAATGGTAAGTAACACACACTTCACTATGGAGAATTGAATCAGAAGTAACACAACTGTACCACTGTTTATGCAAGTGTTTATTTTGTCTACTGAAGGTCACATTACTGCTGAGACGATGATGGATATCCTGAGAGATAAAGACAGTGGCATCAACATGGAGGGCATGTTCATGACAACGGGAAGTATGGTGTCTGTGATACCCACTGATCCCTCTCTGCCCGGGGTTCACTACTTTACAGCAACTCCAGACCCTGAAAGGTAAAGTGCTGGATCACAGTTCAGCTGATAAAGCATGCTTTGAAGTCATTTAAAAAAGCGAATGACCAAATAATGTCATTATTTTTGCACAACAGGTCCGTATTCAAACCTTTCATCTTTGTGAAGAACATTAATGCGATTAATTTGCCGAAGGAGACTACTTCTCCCAGCTATGGTGCGGATGACCCTGTCAAGAAGAAACCTCGCTTCCAGAGCAAACCTGACCGCAAACACGAGTTGTTTGTCAAACATGAACTGGTGGCGGCCATCATGGAGTCCTTCAAGGTTTACAACTTAATTTCAGCCTGCAATTTCAACTTGGTATGATCAATTTCTTCTTACATATGTATTAACCAATTGTTTTTTGTCTATAGGACAGAGGAAAGAAGATCACAGAAAATATGAGGAGACTGGAGAAGGAGAAGATGACAAAGATGGAGGAGATTCTTTCACATGGCATTAAGGAACCAGACCTTTTGGTGAATCTGTTCCCGAGCTGTGTTCAGGAGGAGATGGCCGTGTACGGCAAGAGTTGAAACCACAAAACAGAACTGCAGAGTGACACAGCCAGCATAGGCTTCTACGTTTACCGTTGAATCAGGTGTAAAAAAACATGGTTGTATAATTAAATAGAACTTGAGAAATTAACATTGTTGTACAAAAAGTAAAACAGACTTGGATACCCATGTTGTACGTATCGCATCATTGACCAGAAATACTAGGAGGAACAAATGACAGGACTTGAGGGTTTGGGTATAACATTTATTTTTAAAACACATCATTAATACAGACCTAGTATATTAAAGTGTTTTTTTTTATCAAAAATACATTGTATACCTCCAGTGCGTCCATCATAAACGTAAAACGTTTTTGCTTTTTAAAAAGCAACAAAACTGTATATTTTAGCAGTGTTTTAAATTATATATACCTGAGAGAGAAAAATGATTTCCAGCAGCTTGTAACATCCCAAGTCTCAAAGTTAATGTGCACACTTGCGAGTAAACACATTAACATTGTCTGGATTATGACACTCATTTCACATAGTTCTAAAATCATAACTTTTTTAATGTAAAGAGGAAGGTTGCTTATTTTGTCATTTTCAGAAAAGCAATTAATAATTTGAAACTTTGTCATTCAAACTTGGAAAATGCAGGAACTGGCAGGTTGTTTGTTGAAATGTGTATGTTAGGATACTAGCTCTGCTAAACTGTTTTACATCAGCGCCAAGTCCTATTCAACTACAGGTTATCAAAGATACAATACTCTCAAGCTTCATAACCAGGTAATTATCTGGTAAAACTCACTTAGCCATACATTAAAAAACATACTATTAAAAAAAAGGAGGCAGCTTTAACCATGTTCCCTTTTTTCAATAATACATTTAGCAGAATAATGGGATTTCTTGCTTGCCAGCATTGTCAATCCCAAAAAGGACACAACATAAAAACAATCCAACGGAAAGTCCAAGTATTTGCATTGCATTTGAAATGATATCAAATTCTATAAAAGCAGCAACGTCTAGTTTTATCCTTTAAAATTGGTAATACTTGTTTTAACTGGCATGACATGCTTATTATTTTGTATATGAAGTTATGGCCCTAGGTCATTTTCAATGTAATACTTTTAATCACCAGTTTCATTGCAGTTAAAATGATGCAGAGTCTGTCCTGACTGACTGTTGAAGCAATGTTGCTGCATCTCAATATCTCTACATTTATACTTGTGATTGAAATGTTAAATGTTTAACTACATAAATAAGACATTTATGGTTAGAAATCCCTTTAGGACCAACTCTGCACAGTACTATGACCTGGCCTTACTTATTTTAAAGTTTCAAGTCTGTTGCCCTTCTGAACACACCCATCATCACGTTCAGGTGTGGTCTGTTCCAACACCCGACAGGGATGTTGTGCTGAACAAAACAGCATTGGGAAGGGCTGTACTGTGCATGGTGTGCACATAGCATGTCAGATTATGGTACTTCCTCCCTTATGAAACAAAAATATATTGTAATATATTGGTAAATATAATACAATATATTGGATCATACATTTCCATATATGGGAAAGTAGTCCTTATATTTTTAAATATATTGCAATATATGCATGGACCATGTATGGCTATATATTGATACATATAAAAAAAAAATATTGCAATGAAAACAAAAACTGCACTATACATTTATATGTAATAGTTTTATTGAAACACTCATTTATCTTTCATGAGTTTACATAAAATTGAACAGATATTCATAAACAGTTATCTCACTTCGTTTTGTATAGTTACCCACTTTATATATGAACATATGTTTGATGGTAGCCTACATATAAAAAAAGTACAAATTGTCCATTGAATGATGGAAAATAATATACAGTTTATAAATATATATAGACACACACATATATGCACGCATATATATATGCATATATGCACGCATATATATATTCATATATATATATATATAAATATATATATATGCACGCATATATATATGAATATATGCACGCATATATATCTATGCATATATTACGGCCGACCGACTATTTGGAGTGGAACGCACCCACGGCAGACAGCCCAAACAGTATTCGAATGCGCCACTTCCGGCTGATTTCGGGGAGCCCCCCCCCCCCCTCTCCAGCAATAGATTGATCTGATTGGCAGATTCAAATCTGCGTTGCTGCCTCTGTCTGTTGATTCTGTCGCTGAGTGTCAAAGAGAAAGCATTCATCAGGTGCTTCGAAACGGAAAATTAAAAAGAAACGAGAGGAAAATACAGCACCAGAGTCAGGTATGTGTGTGAGCATTTAAAACTATTTTAAATTGAAATAATTCTGCATGTACACTATAAGTAGTCTAGTTGCTTAATCCGTATGTCCCGTCTCTCGGCACTACACCAGCTACATTAGCTAACGTTAGTTAAATTAGCTATGTTAGTTCCCTCGTGTATGAGTGTATAACCGGTCCGCAGCTTTGTGAACATTCAATTTCGAAGATTTTCGATGTTACAGTCAACTGAAGTCGACCCAAAACAGCCAAAAATAGCGGACCTTTAGATCGCTAACATTTTAGCATAAGTCAATGGAGTTTAACATAGCGAAAACTAGCCCCACGGCTAACGGACATTTTCTGACTGGTGACGATGATGAGCTAGTTAAGTAATGTAACCACAGTTAGTCTATGTCTTGTAAATTCCCCTTGTTCTCCTTGATGTGCATTATATCGTTCGTGTTTTAGTCAGGCACATTTAGGGACAGCTAAAGTAGTTCAGCTACGGGTCTTCGAGCTGGTTACACATGTGCGTTCAGGACATTATTGCGCATCGTCACATGCATAATTACCATCGTCACAGAGAGAATGCGTTCGTGAAGAATGTGAGCATATATGCAGATCTTTAGTGTTGGTAATGTTATAAGATTGTATGCATAGTGTCCTGCTCAGTCAGTGTGTTAATGAGTCTTGATGTCCCGTTTTTAGTTTCTATGTTGTTCAGGAATTGAGCTAATGCTAGCTAGTTAGCTAAGTTAAGCTATGATAGTGTGTGGATGAGATGCTAACTTAGCTTTTATTAGCCGTGTGTTTGCAACGTGTCTAATGTGTTTTAGCAACAATTAGTATTGCTGTTGCTTATTATTAATAACCATCGTCTGGTTAGTTATTGTAATTTGAACCTTATTTCTATTTCTGTGTATTTTGCAGAAACCATTCATTCATTCTCTACTCTACTTAGGCTATGTGTTGTGGACTAATGCATTCAAGTTAGTTCACATTTTAGTTGTTATTGCCCCTGCTGACAATTGTGTGGATAATATGTAGCCTACAGTCAATGGCATTTCACATTTTACTCTCCAGTGTATGTTATTTTAATGTTGACCCATAATACTATATATCTATATATTTTACAGGAGCATTGTTGAAATTCATAGGTCGAACTAAGCCTGCAGAACCACAAGTCAAGAGGACAGAGGAGCCAGATAGCAGTGGTGACTGAGACAGAATAAATAAGGAGAGAGGGCCCATGCAGAGAGGCAGACATCAGTAGTGAGGAATCAGACCCAAAAGATACGAGGACAGAGGAGCCAGATCGCAGTGGTAAGGAACGCACTGTCATTTAATTTCACTGTTATTTTACTTTTCACATATCACTTTATTCACTATTCAGCTTAGTTATCCTTGCCATGAATGTTCTATATTATTTTAATGACAGATTGAACCACAGCAATATTGTTTTAGAGATTTTATATGTTTAACTGCTATGCCTGTCATCTCTGCTCTGTGTCATTGTGTTGTCTCCTGGGTTCTGTAGTGCCTGGAGTCTGTCTTTTTATTTTTTTCCTCCCAAACCCCATCCCCTCAGGACGCCTTTTGCCTCCTGTCAGGTCATCATTGTAATAAGAATTTGTTCTTAATTGATTTTCCTGGCTAAATAAAGGTTCCACTACTATTTATTCAGTTATTTTATTACTGGTACTGCTAATTGCATTATGCGTATTGTTGTATATTGTATATACGTATGTATTTACTACTACTACTTACAAAATCAAGGGTTGTAGCTTTGTGTCAGTACATATTTCAGGGTTTTTCTATGCCTTTGTTCATCTAAATTCTAATACTCATAGGCGACTACCACTCCTGCCGAGGCCCAGTTCTCCCTTCCCACCACCCCAGGCTCATTGTGCTAGGTAAAACTCTCATTCAATAAAAGTAGTCTTTTAAAGGTGGGGTAGGTAATTTTGGAGAAACCAGCTCGAGATCGCTAGAATTTGAAAATACACAGCCGGAAAAAATGTGCCACTTCCTTACAGAGCCCCTCCTCCAACACACACGAACGCGCACATGACCAATGAGGGCACGAGATAAGTTTCTGCACAGATGGAAGGCCATCCAGTCATTTCAACCGGGCCGGCTAAAATGATTGGTTGTGCTTTTTACAGTACCACGGCTTCCACAGATGATATTTTTTTATGGATTTTTTGTCAAAGCACTTCAGATATTCATTGCTATCAGGATGTTAAGAGCATTCCATGGAATATAACAAAAAGTGTATCTCGAGCCGGTTTCTCAAACTTACCTACCCCACCTTTAAAGATGAATGCAATTACATTTAAAAAAGTTTTAAACAGAACTGTCACAGATGCAGATGCTTGGTCCAAATTCCATAAAATATACCAACCAGTAGCGCCACACTCAGACGAAAATGTACAAAGCCTATTCTTCCACTATTTGTATTCCCACATTATTCACCAAGCCAGCCCATGCTTTAATATAGATATTATGGATATTGTTATAATTCCTGCTGTCTTTTGTGAACTTCTAATTATTTGTAATTGTTCTGTTCCACAGATGCTGTAGTAAACCACCATCCAGGGACCAAGACATCAGATATAAGAACATCCATTAACACAAGAATTTGTGAGTAAAGGCACGAAAAAAACAAGATGGACGATTAAATAGGGTACAAGACTGTTTTTTTGGCCCTGTTCCAGACCTTGTTTTAATGAGTGATCAGCTCATGTTTAAAGTTGTCACCCGGTGAAACAAAAAACAAGATTGTTAAATAGGATAACAGACTGCTCTTTTTGGCCCTGTATGAAATAACAATGCATCATTTATTAACTATACCTATACAAAATGTAATACATTTTCCCTTCATTATGTAATAACACCTCCTTTTGTAATAATTTGCCCATTATGTAGTAAACAAGTTCAATGCAAATATGTAATACATGTCGCCACATTTTGAAATATATTATTACATATTGCTGTGGTTATTACAAAATGAGTTGCAAACAATAACATTACAACTGTTTATTTATTTATTCAACCATGAATCATCCTTAATCATAATTTAAAAATATTTCAGTAGAATATCTTTCATTGGCCAAAACTAGATCAAGTGTTACCATATTCATTAGCCAACATGTATATCAACATCAATTTTGGGATATATTTACAGTTTGGTTATGGTTACATAATGAATATTACAGTTTTTTAAAAGGGCAACTCACGCATTTTGTAATAACCATTGCAAAATGTAATAATTTATTACAAAATGCAGGGACATTTATTTTATATTGCGTTCAGGCTGTTACAGAATGCAGCAGATTATTACAAAATGTGGGTTTTATTACATAATTACATAAAAATGTTCTTGAGTCATTACATAATGTGTTGTTTAGGCCTTTTCTTTTATTCTTTCCTTGTCCTTCTTTTAATGAGTATTTTGATAACTGTTACACATTGATAGAAAAAACAAATTAAGCTTCTCATTATTCAGACTCAGCTCTCAGCGCTTAAGCTTCTTTTAAATGTTGATAAAACCAAGGTAATGCTCTTTTCAAAAACTAAAAAAGACACCAGAGCCTGTTTTAGATATTTTAATTACACAAGGAATAAAACTTGAAGTGGTTGCCTGTTACAAATACCTTGGTATCTGGCTTGATGATTGTCTCACTTTTAAACTTCATGTCAATAACCTGCTTAAAAAACTGAGGGTTAGACTAGGTTTCTTTTCCAGGAACAAGTCCTGTTTCTCACTTGAGGCCAGAAAAAGGCTAGTCACTGTGACCTTTTGACCTGTGCTGGACTATGGTGATCTGATCTATATGAATGCACCTGCCAATTGCCTGGTCAAGTTAGATGCCGCCTATCACAGTGCACTGAGATTTGTGACAAACTGTAAAGTATTAACCCATCACTGTACCCTGTATGCAAGGGCAGGTTTGCCTTCACTAACTGTACGGAGGCTCAGTCACTGGTACATTTTTATATACAAAGCCATGTTAGGGAAACTTCCATCCTACATCTGCTCCCTGATCTCACGGCGAATTGTAAGTGGCTACTGCCTGAGATCGAATGCTGTGGTTTTATTAAATGTGCCAACTGCTAGGACTGTCTTAGGGAAGATAGCATTTAGATGCGCAGCTCCGCTAACTTGGAACAGTCTGAGCAATTTGGTTCCACTAAATGTTTTTTAAAGCAAGGATAGATGCTATCCAATCGGAAACTGTTGGAACCTGTAAATGTTACTAGCTATGTAAACTGTAGTCACTGTAAATATGCTGTATGATGTCCTTTTTTGTTTTTCTGTTATGTTTATATGTATTCATGTGGAACCTACTTGCAGCAGGTCACCCTTGAAAAAGAGATCAATGATCTCAATGGGATTCACCTGCATAAATAAAGGTTTGAAATTAAATGAAAGATTTTTTTTATCAGAACATGCATTTCTCCTCATTGTGAACATATATTGCACTCATGTTCAGAATATATGGTACGTACATGGTCTTTTATAAATCTGAATATATATAGTGCATACATGTCCCCATATAATTGTGAATATATAGCGCATACATGTCCCCATATAATTGTGAATATATATATATAGTACATGTCCCCATATAATTGTGAATATATTCTGCATACATGTCCCCATATAAATCTGAATATATAGCGCATACATGTCCCCATATATTTGTGAATATATATAGTACATGTCCCCATATAATTGTGAATATATTCTACATACATGTCCCCATATAAATCTGAATATATAGTACATACATATCCCCATATATTTGTGCATATATATAGTACATGTCCCCATATAATTGTGAATATATTCTACATACATGTCCCCATATAAATCTGAATATATAGTACATACATGTCCCCATATATTTGTGAATATATATAGTACATGTCCCCATATAAATGTTAATATATAGTAAATGTATGTTCACATATATACACAACCAATATATTATATATATTTACATATATTACTCAATATATGGAAAGCGGCAATTACTGATGTATTATCCCATATATTACAATATATTAACACAATATATTATTCTATATATCTTCAATATATTTTCAATATATTTTGTAGATTGTTGATTATTAATCAGTATCACTTGGTGTAGCCAACAGCAAGATTTCCTTTATTAAATCTTTTCAATTAACCAGTAAATCAGAAAACAAAATAATGCAATATATTGACAGTTAATATATGGGGAAATATATTTTCTTTGCGTAAGGGCTAGAGGTCAGTATGGTTCTTCATGTGGCCTGACCTTAAGATGTATCAAAGAAGACATTTTCTTCCTCAATGAAAATGCAATTTTCCTTTAATAAAAACAGAACAGAAAGGTTGACCTTGTTTCTTATGTCATGAAGCGGTAATAAAGGTGACTGTCTTGGAAGCCGTGTTCCTGCCCGATGTGCTGGAGCACCCCACCCTGCTGTAAGCGCGTCCCGTAGAGCACCGCCTCCCCCTGATCCTGAGCCAAGCCCACCTGCTGCAGCCACTCCACCAGGTCACAGCCAAGGAAACTCTCCACCATAGTCCGCTTCCCACACCTTAGAGTTTGAAGAATATATTTTTAGTTAAAATCTGAAGAAAGCCTCTTTACCAAGGTCTGAACAATGTTTAATATCTCTAAAAGTAAGAATCAGATTTAAAAGTTGTGCTACACGAATAATGTTAGAAAGATGTGTAACATTTTAAAGTTGGAATGAGGTTTCTGAGTGAAAGTATGAATGAACAGTTAGCAGTTGAAGTCGCATGAAGATTGTTCAAGTCTGAAGATTTTCTCCATTGACTTCAATGGTTAAAAATGTGATGAATTATGGGATGTATCTCTGGAATTATGAAAGTTATGAATGATAAAAGTAATAGCCATCGATTCCCGACCGAGCTGAACGTTTTGATGTTTGAACGGAGTTTCTGCGATGTTGAATGCAGTAGGAGAAGAGGTGCAAAATCCCGGCGGAATAATAATAATTTTGTCCGTAGAATAACATATAGTGGGAATGCTGTATCAGCATTCCCACTAAATAACTGTTGAAAGTTTTTTTTAAATAATTGTCATATGTGTTGGACTACCAGGATTGTTTCTCCACACACCATGTTTATTCAAGACATTTGTCATCAACCTCTGACCAGAGCAGCGGTGAGTATGATGATGATGATGATGATGATGAGGATGATGTGCTCTCACCTTCTCTTTTTGACGATGTCATGACAACACTGGTCCTTGTGGTATTGGGTGAACTGGGAGCAGGTCATCCTGATTTCCTCCGGGAAATTAGTCTGTGGTTGCTCTTCTTGCTTCTTTCCATAAAACAGACGATGTAACCTAAAAAAACATTCATAAATGCATAGAGTATAGTGTAGTTAACACATAGTATGTATACGCGGTTAATACAGTGTGGCTTGTGTGTAAAACACTAGAGAGTATGTCAAAGCTTAATAACATAGATGATCTTTACCTCTTTTTAAATGGCAGTATGATCAAATGCTTGTCCATCCCAAAGAGAGCAAAAGAGAGCAAACCCTAGGGACAGAGAACAGGTCATGACACTGGTGCTTTGTCACAATAAAAAACTCACAATCTTGGGAATAGTTTATCTGGGAAACCAACCTGTCCATAGTTGGCCACAGCACAGAAGAACAGCAGCTCCAAGTAGAGTCTACCAGGAACCGGATTCAAGAGCAACCACAAGCAGCTGGACAGGTTCTGTTATGACAGGAAGTGAGAGGAGCTTTTTGTTTGAGGTGTACAGTACACCAGCAAACATGTTGACAGAATACAACGTGTGGAACCAGTTGAGTGAAATGACTGCATTAGGACAACTAAATAAGTGTCAGAAAATAATATTTACTTGACTTCCATTAAGGGAATAGTTTGGATTATTTGAATAAGGGCTGTATGTGGTACTTGTATGTTTGTTGTATGAGCAGAAAGCAGTACTGGCACAGTAGCAAAGTAAAGTACAAAATATATTTTTGTATATTCAAGATCAGCTTTATATTTAGAGTATTTGTTTCATTTACATGGCTGCCGGATTGCCCTTTACAACGTTGAACTGAGGCATTATCCATGCTCTCTTTAAAGCCTCATGACCCTATTGACTATTGAGAAAAAACTGTAATTTTACCTCACAAAACACAACCTCCAGTCAGCTGCTTCCTGCACTGGTTAGATTGTTTGCGTGACTTTGATGCTTTGACCAAAGTTACACATTAACACAAACAAATTCACTAATGTAGGCAGCCATAAACAAGCAACTCTTGTGTTCTGCAAGATAAAATTACTAATTTTGTCAATGTAGTCTAGTTGGAAAGGGCAATGTAAAGCAGTGTCTATGGAGGAGAATGTTTTCCAACCCCACTACATATAATTTGTACTATACCTTTAAATAGTGAATTTACAGGTTTGAAAAATATTTGTTGAGATACACAAACAAACCACATATCACAAGTTTGATTGGTATCTACTAGTCTTATTAGAACCAGAGTCAGCTTTCATGGCCAGTCTTAACATACTTTAAAATGTTCTTTAAAATGAAATATAAATAAGGCCTAAAACAGGGACAAAAAAAACTAAATTCTAGATTTACTAATCTTATTTAATATTTTTCTTATCAAATATTTAGAGCAATAAATACCAATCCAAACATAATAATCTAATGGGTTTCCTTGGAGAAGGCTACAACCAAAACTGAATGAGTGAGTGAGTTGGAAATGACATGGCTCAGCCATTTGTGTCTGATTTGGTTTGTGATGCACTAAATATAATGATGCAGGCAGTAAGGCTGGCTTCATGTCACTGTAGAAGTGAAAGGTGGTGGTTTACTCACAGCCAACAAGCTGACAGTCAGAAGCAGACAGAGGAGCACATGACGGGCCACTTGTCTTTCTTCTACCTGCTGGAGCTCCTCCACTTGGACAAGCAGGCAGTCTGTGGACTCACAACGGCTCTCACACTGACCTGAGGGGGGCAGCACAACAGGAAATAAACATACACTCAATACTGAATCTTATTCATTGTACAGAAATGCTCTTTAATGGTTATCGTTGTTGTATGTGTTTAACAAATTGGGGTTAATGTATTTTTAATTCTCGCTGAATAAATGTACTGTTGTTTATTAGTAAAATACCTGTGAGTGTGGTTGCGGTGCTGTTCATGGTGGTGCTGATCATATCAGGCATGGGCTGGGGTGGGGCGCAGTCACACAGGAGGCACGCTGATAACAAAGTGTTAAGAGTGAGGTCAAACTCGAGGCAAAAAGCACACACAGTATGAGTAATACAGAACAAGATTAACCCTCTAATGAAGATGAGAGTAATACTTGTGCATCCATTATAACATTTTACTATCTTGAATATTTTGAGTTATTGCGAAATTAAATGTTTTCATGCTACTCTTTATGTGAATGGTACCTACTGTATTCTGTTAACCACATGTTTGAATTGTCGTTGTTGTTTTTATGTTAGAATCATGATTGTCTGCAACACACTAGTATCTTTCAAATCATATTCATATAAAAGAAAGAGTGTGTTCCTCCAACAGTGGCAGAACTGGTTTGTATGTATTGTAATAAAATCCCCAAAGTCGGACCACTCCTTGAGCTCTAACTTGAATGGAAGGAGACTCTGCCTGCATGTAGGTCTGACGTTGTTTTTCTTGACTAACTGGTCACACTATTGATTTCACTTTGGATGTTTTAGGTGCCAGCTCTTGAGATCCATGTGACTCATTTTGTTATGTATTACGTTTTTAACAGGCACATTTTGAGTTGGCACAGCAGTAGTCTCCTTACAAAAGAAAACAAAATGTTAGCCGTGAAGGCTCAATTACAAGTTATATCTCGACACTTATCAGTAACTTCAGATCTCATGTTTCCTCCAGATAATGACATCCAAAATGTTTGTTCCTTTTTTTCAGTGTTTACTTTGTGATTTTGAAACGTATTTGTTCTACTTGTGGAAATGGTCTGCTGGGGCAATAAATGAGAAATAAGTTGCGCTGCCAATGTGGCAGTTTGAAGAAAACTTATGGATGACTTTTTAATAATGACTGTTCTTTCCTTTTCTCTTTAACAACTGTGACAACATTTGATATGTTTGAACTCTCTGTGTGCTCCACCCATTCCCATGTGCTGTGACATTCATCACTTGGCAAATGGTTATTTATTCAGAATCTTAAAGGTGAAATTCAAACAAATGTTGAAATGTTGAATAAAAGTCTCAGTTGAATGGCCTCTTTAAGAGAAATTACCTCCGTTGGGATCTCCTGATGGGGCGGTTGGCTCAAACAGAGACTGGTTCTCTGGATCATCCTCAGTTACAAGATCCTCTGCAGAGTTTTCCTCAGTGGGGGCCCAGCTTCCTCTGCTGAGACATATAAGAGAGCTCCCTCCCAGCAGTATACTGAGAGCTAGCACAACCGTGGTGCATATTATCTGTAAAATAATGCACATACAGACATGTAGGATTTTAAGTATTTCTCTGCAGGTTAAAAAATGGCAGAAAACATGAAAGATTTAGATGTTGTTGTTGTTGTTGTTACCTGTGGTTTGCCATAAAAGAAAGCTGAGTCAATAGTGTCAGGCACTTTTGTCCCAGAAATGAGCAATGCAGCTGTTATTGAGGCTGGGATACTGTTAATATAGAGACAACATTTAAAATCAATTACAGTATCAAGATGTAAAATGTAAATCCTCTCAATGATACTACATTTCTGATTACATTTGAAATTAATGCACTTTAATCTAAAATCCCCAACATGGCGGACCTTTTAGTAGACCAGACAATCTGGGTTAGTTTCATTTCTGTTTTTAGTCTTCTTTAAAAAGACTCACCCCCAGCCAGCAATGAGGAACGCGCCGGGTAAGACTTTCACATCCTCATGCCTCTTCATGAGCACAAGAGAGAGTGCTATTAAACCTATAATGACAAAAAACACATTACAGAATTAGCAAAAAAAACTTCAGATTTCAGAAATCACCGAATTAAATGTATGCATTTTAATGTGAGGTTAATGTGGATGGAGAGTTGTTTGCATACCTGGCCAAAGAAAGCTACTGTAGAGGGAGGTACATATTAATGTGAACGTCAGGACCTGCCCGATGAAGTTGTTTTCTTTCACCGCAAAGTTCCACAGAATCATCCCAACACAAGTTAGGAGCTACCGTCCAAACAATAAAAAAGAACTGCATTTACTTATGAGGTTACACATGCAGGTAGATGTTTGGCAATTTGAATAATGGATCATAAAATCAATTCAGAGAAAATGTGCAAGTTTGCTCACCTGTGCCAAAAAAAGGTTGATTGTAAACATGTGAGGTAGCCTCTTGAATTTTTTACTTAAAAACATGACAGCAATTGTCCAAACCTGTGAGGGAAAACACACATTTTAAATTATACATGTCGTCCAACACGAAGACATGTGCAGACATGTTAATAACTATCATTATTCAACATTATTTGCTGGCATTTCATTTGAAAGCAAAGGACAGGTGAAATAAGAGAATGAAAGAATGGAGACTAACAAGGTAGTAAAAGATACTGCAGAATACACAACTGTATACATATTTCATCACAATAAAGATTATTCATTGTTTTTTGCAACAGGTTGCAGGTTCCTGAAAGTGGAATTTAATGAGGAAGTAAGTTCTCAAGTCAGTAAAGCATCTGTTCAGTCACACATCCTCTAAATGACGAAGCCTTTTTATGTCTATCTGCCACAGTGGTTCGAACATCTCACAAGAAGCCACATTTTTGTGTTTTCTTTTCATTACACAGCAGATGTGTAGTAGTGTTAAGGAATAATTCTTCTAGATATCTAACCTTTTGCTCTGTGACGTTTTATGATCTACTCTGACGTCTGTTATCTCCTTTAAGGAAAGGCCTTGGTGCCATATGTGTTGTTGTCACCAGTTTGTGACCGGTCAACTTGTCTGGCACGAATGGTAATTGTTGTGAGAACACTGAGGCACTTCTTTATCGGTGTTTGTGGACTCTAAGATGTGAAATCTTCGAGGCCATGAGTGTCGGACGCAGGTGGTTCAGTGTTCCCAGCTGTTTAGTCGACTCCTTCAGAGATGTTGATTACTCTCTGTGAACCCGTTAAAAGGTCTAGCATAGAGAGAGGCTCTTCAGAATTGACGTGGCAACTCTACCGTGTAGTCAGAACCTCTGACTCTTTGATTTGTGATGTGAATCCTCCGGCCGAATACTCTGAATAAACCCATCAGTGTTTGACATCAAAGCTCCAACTCTCACCGTGTCTCCTTCCTGAGTCGGTGACTCCATGCATTGCTACACAGGAATTTCGTCCACAAGTAGCAGTAGTGAATTGTGCTGTTTTATGGAAATAACTTACTAAAGTAATTGCAGGCCCAACTGCTTTAAGTTCAGAAGTAGAGAATGCTTTAGCAAAAGGCTTATGAGTCAGGACTTCCCTTTGAACCCAGATTCCACATACTGAGATAAAACAAAATAACCAGCCAATAAAAAGACAGTTATAAAACATTAACCAACAACAAGTTAACACATATCAGACTTACCAGTGCAACCAAGGTCACTATGCTTATATTAAAGCTGACACTCAGCAGTGAATTCATCAAAAGCTGAGGATCCATCCAGCGCATCGTAAGTAACCAAGCAGAAACATACATTATTGGAGCTGAGAGAAAAGTGCTGATCACCATCCCAGAGGTTACCTGTCAGGAAGAAGAATACTATGTATGTTAAGTAAAAAATAAAAGTAATTGTTAGCATCTGAATGGCAGATAGGATGTTGACTCATAAACAACTTACAACTTCTAGCTCTGCGTTGTAATAAACAGCATAGATGGCCACACTTGGTGCAGTGGGAAACACGCCATAAAGAAAGGCATAATTGGAGAGGCTTGAGTGGTTCAATGAGCTGGTGTTGGTATTGTCCAATAAATCCACCATGTCCTTACAAATCAGCGGCATCAGCAACCTGAAAGTGAAATCAAAAGGCCGGTGTCATAAATCATTACCTGAGAGTTAGTTAACTGAAAAATGCTACGAATATATAAACATACACTAGTTATTATCATGCTACGCCTTCCTAACAGCTATGACAAGTCATGCTTTAATATAAGTCTTGTGGTCTGTGAAAGGCATGGCTCACACAAACCATAAGCACAAAGCAACATGTTGGGAGCACTCTACAAAGCTCTAACCTGACGACTATCTACACTCCCAGAACACATTAAGAGTTAATCTGCTAACACTGAATCCTCCCTTGTTCAAAATGCACATTAAGCAAAGTAAAGGTCTTAGTTTTTTCCACTCACAGTTTCGCTGTTGTGAGTAAAATCAGTGTCACGACTGAGGATCTGGTTAATTTCCCCAACTGTCCCACCATGGACAGACCCAAGTAGAACAGAGCTGCTCCCCCGAAAGAGTTGGCCAAGCCATCAAGAAATGAAGCCATGAAGGGAGGAATTGTCTGATGTAGGGCAAAATGGCCAATGATGCCGATGACAACCATGAACACTATAGGGTTCTTCAGGACCTGCAACACTACAAGCCCAACGATCAGGATTTTTCTCTGTTGGTGGTTTCCCTGATTCTTCCACTTCTGGATCTCGCAGAAAGCAAAGCCAATGGGGTTTAGAAGAATCAGGGACACCGGTGCCACCAGGTAGATGTACTGCAGGTACTCTGGGTATGTGCTCTTGTAAAGGGCCTCCACTGTGGATAAAGATGAAAACAAATAGCTCAATATTTACGTACTCAGCGAATCTGACTTGTTGGAACATGTAGTGCCAAAGTATGAAATATTGGCTTATACACACAAAGCTGCAAAAGTCCAGGCTTACATAAATATCTGATTTACATCATTGTTCAAGTGTAAGGACTGTTTACATATAAAGTACCTGGGCCATACTGTTACCTGCGCTGTTGTTACTACTGTATTTAGAAATATCTATAACTCTCAGTTAATCAATCATGCTTAAAGGGTTTGTTTATTCTATAATAATATGATCAGAAGCATCAGCATATGCATGCTTATAGAGCATGAGTATGCTTGTATATAACATTTAAAATGTTGAGGTAGTTTACAGTGACACATGGATAATTACACTTTTGATTTGATGAGTGGACAAACATAAGGACAGCATGATTACAGTTGCAGCAGTGAATGAAAAGCAATGTGTGTGGTAGGCTTAAAGGCATTATACTCACCAATGGGATATCCCAGGGCAAAGTCATTGCTTTGGGTGGCAAATATTGAGAAAAGCCCAGCTTTACTATAGCGGCTCTCAGGACTGGCAACTATCAGCGTGAGAACGCAGACAATGAAAAACACAGACACCTTGGCAATGAGGACGCTCCATAGAAATGGCCAGATGACATTCCCAAAGTCCAACAGCACCATGTTCTTGAACAGCAGAGCTGGGAGGGCAAACTTGGACACAAAATTCCCCAATCCTTTGGCCTGTGTGGAGGTGATGATGTTTGCCCTCCCTGCGATGTATCCACACAGTATTATCCCAAAGCACTGCAGGAGAGCCGGTAGCAGCTTGTCAATGGACATGCTGGGTGAGGGGACTTCCTGCTCATATGAAAAGTTGGTGTTTCTGCCCGGTGCCTCCATCATGTTGATCATCCTTCCACTGTCACTTGTCATGTCTGGTTTGAGGGCATGTTATTTCCTGTCGGCCCTGTCAGATAACACAAGAGGGAGGGAGTTCAAAGGAGGAGTTTGTAGTAAGACGTTAAACTATCAGATGCAAAGATAACGAGTTAACGGCGTTAGTTAACCAAATCAACGTCATATGACCGACTCCTTTACGAGTGACTATCAAGCTTTTACCAAATAGAAAACAGGCATATCAAGGTCAATGCGGTTATAAATTACTAACCTCTGCACTGAGTGCAGTTCAGCCCCAACGTGTAACGTTAACGTTTCCATGTGTCAGTGAAATGTCAGTTGGAGTAGCCATTAGCCAGCTAGCTATCGTTGAATTGGTGAACCACAACTGAGAGTATCCTCTTAAATAGTAAGTGGAGTTGAACAACTCTAAAATCCACACGTTTAACCCACCCAGGGCTAGATAGTTGTTGAAATGTCGCGTTACGTAGGTGTTATTAGCTCACTTTAGTCACCACCCAGCAACTTTCCTAGTCACTGATTTGTCAACAACGATTCAACCAATCAAAATATACCGAGGGAAAAAGAGGCGGGGCTTACTCCACCTACACAACACACCACATGCAAAGCAGGTACACTACACACTTCCTGATGCCCCCCATCAAGTACGACACATATTACATTTAGTAATAATACTGAATTCAACTCTGTAGTCTATAGTATTGTTATTATTTGAAGACGCAAGAGTTTTAAAAACGCTTGAACCATGTGCAGGAGAGGGTATAATTAAAACAGGACTGAGATGAGATACTATTCCCCTCTCAGACATTATAACTTGTACTTATAATACATTATGAGTTATATATCTTATAAAACCTAATTTCAGATGGTGGACTGTAGTAATTGAAGTAGGTTTTTTTCAAAGAGATGGTTCTTAGTGAATGTTGAGGAAGTGTTTAAAAATCATGGAAAGGTAATCAAAGTTTGGCAATTCATGAGTTAGATGTACATATTTCTAAATGAACAACCAAGTCTGGTATATGCAAAGATTAAAATTGATAATTAAACTTTCAGAAAGCATAATTTTCCTTCAAAATAAATAGTTTATTATTGTTAATAAGACTTGTTTTATATGTGTATTTAAGTCATGAATCCACACCAGCCCTCAGTTTATCCTTTTTTATAATTCAATAACTCTACGTACATCCTTTATGAACAATGAATCATATGACTGTATAAGGTGACAGGGGTTATTTGAAGGGACAAACCCACAGAGAACTATGACTCAACTCTTCAATGTCCCTCAGCTTTTCTTATAACTCAATGTTTTGTTTTACAGCCTGAGATCATCACGCTCGTCAGCATCATTGCCTCACTTCAGCTTAATAATGCAAAAATAACTACTTTTATATTTTCCACCTTTACATATATGAAATAATATGAGTCAAAAGGATTCTGGACACAGAGCAAGACTTGATCAGCCTGAAAAACGTATTTAATTTTTTATTTAGTTGTTCCCTAAACAAACATGTGAAAGAATATATTAAATGTTTTTAAACAAATTCAATATCTCAATTGCACACATAGCCTATATATTACTTTAAAAAAGAAAAGCAACACAGCTCTGGCAAAACATATCCTGAAGCTACTGTATATAACATTATCTTTTACATATACACATGTAGGAACACAACATCAAAGAGCAAACAAAGACTTATACTGTGAATGCAGCTATTGTTCAAAGTTATAGACAGGTAAAACATGATGCAGTTACGCCCAGCTGGTGCACTCCACTCCAGGACTTTAAATCGTGCTCAACTCAATGAGACGGCCTGCAAACACACCTAATGTGCCGATGAGACACACTGCCATGAACACACAGAGCAGGATGTGATCCAACACCATGGCTACAAACTTCCATTCTTCAGCAGCCTGGAAAGAAAAGAGGGACAATGTGTTACATAAAGCATGACTAAAGAACAGTATTAGTGACACTTTCTATGCAAGAGAGATTACATTGTTGGACTCCTCGTCCGATTTCATGGTTTCTGCGATGTATTTGACTCCTTCAATGGCACTGCGGACGTCAGGGTTCTTAGTCATGGGCGACTGATAGGGAACAGAAGAGGCCTGGTTGCCTGAGATGTCTGAGATGTCAAAATCAGCACCATATAGGTTGGGTTTAGCCTGGATATCCTTTCCTGGGCGTTTCATTGTTGAGAAGAACATGATGTTGGGAATGGTTTCAATGAAAACCTGTTCATAGAAAGACAACAGATATGCATCATGTCATACAACATCAGAGAAGTTGGATTATGTCAAATGAACATGTTATGCCTGCTACCACTAGATGGCAATATCATACAAAGAAAAAATAAATAAAGGATTGTTCTCTAAAGCTTGCCAAGTTTGAGTGGTAAAGCTCTTCAGTCAAAAACAATATTAGGTTAAGGTTTATGTTCCCCTCTGTTTATGTGCTCACCTTGCGGACCCAGTCTGGCATTGTGTGAGTGCTGGGGGAGCGGTGGTGGGTGTTGATGACGATGACAGTGATAATGATGGAGGCAATGACGAAGACCATAGTGAAGAGCATGTACTTCCCAATGAGTGGTACAGCACTGGAGGTAGAAGGAATCAGCTCCACAATGACCAGCAGGAACACAGTCAGAGACAGCAGGACGGAGATGCTGAGGGTCATCTTCTCACCTGGGAGACACAGAAGACATCTTTTGTGATCATCAAGGGTATCATCATGTTGATTTTGTTAATGATTTAAAGGCTTTCAAAATAAAAACTCTACAGGACTTTAGAAATCATCAATAATCATCAAACTTGTTTTAGTTCAACTGGTCACAACCGGTAAACATATGAAACAAATGTCTGTGGTTCACAAATCAGCATGGGGTCAAAAAGGATTTCTAATTTTGTAAGTGTAGAGAACATTGTATGTTTACAGCAGTAGAAAAAGTCAACCTACAACAACACATTCTGTTATTTGATCACATCTTTACTTTTAAAGACACACTAAAATAACCCTTAAACTGAATTAAAAATGGGGAGCTGCCGTATTGAAAGAATGTTTGTTCAAAACACTAAAAACATGCAATCTTAATACATCGCCACAAGGGAGAGCTGTTGCTGTGGGTAGTAAATACTTCCATTACCCTGCCATCCAATCAGGATGCTACCCCCACTATTAACACAGCACACAATAACTGCACTGTTCACACTCGAGAATAGGAGGTATTTTCGCTGTTGTTTGTAAACTCAACAATAGAATAGAAGTAAACAAATTCTGACACCATCTCACAAGTAAAATGCTAGACGTGTTGTTTTGTTGCTCAGATAGAACAGTTATCCCAGAGAGAGCATCTTTTGGCACCAGCTTCTCCTCCACACTTTCCTGTCAGCAGCCATATCAGACACTGGAATCAAGTGATGTATTATACATTAAAGCAAAGGCCCGCTTTCAGACATGACAGCACAGAGGGACCCTGGGTAATGAGGCAGACTTACACACTAGGAACACGGCCAGATGTGCACACAAGCAGTGCAACTCCTGCATCAGCTGATGTAGGGACACCTCAGAATTAGGGACGAGGATTAGTCCAACATGATGTCAGTTATCATATCGTATCTGTGTTTTTATGTCACATCATGATACCACAGATAATGAAGATAATGTCACATTCAGTAGATGTTTTTTTTGGACAACTTCACAATACTAAATCAGAGGTTGTTTTTTAGTTTTTTGTATTTGCCTATCTCCATATTATACACTATATACAGTTAGCATTTATGAATCATTATCTCAGCTGAGAGTGTCAGAGAACTTTGGGCCTGCCGTCATCCATGTTCAAGAAATAGGTTGACATTTAGAGAAATAAGCTTATGTGCCGTCTTGCTAAGGTTAAGAAAACCAAAACCTCTTTCATAGCTGTGGGCTAAATATGATACTTTACAGCAAAGAAACCATTAGCTTAGCTTAGCACAAGGAGTTGAAACAGGGGAAAGCAGCTAGTCTGGCTCTGTCCAATGTGCCTACCAGCACCTCGAAAGCTCACTAATTAACTGAAATGACTATGTCTTGTTGTCACGGTGAGAGTGCCAGACAGAGAGCCAATTAGTGAGTTTTAGAGGTGCTGGTGGCAGCTATAGGGAACAAGCTAGTCTGGCTCGAGTCAGAGGTAAACAATCTGTTTACCAGCACCTCACATAAACCCTGCTCACTGTATTTGCATGCGGCACAATAAATTGGGCAAATGTATAAAGACATACTATATAAAATCAGCTATGTCAACTTGGCATATACAATAGATGATGTATCTTAAGAGCTATTGTATATATATATTGTGTGTTGTTATTGTTGAATATGTATAGATTGTATAGACTGTATAGATTACCATACTGTATGTGGTAAATGTCATCTTTAATTGCTTTTTGAAAATCAGAGAAAAGCACTGATGTCATAATGTCCCCGTGCTATTGATTAATGCTTTATGTTATATCCAAATTGTGGTCTCAGTATCAACATACCAGAGTCTGTAGGAAGATAGAAGACGAGGCCGGTCAGGAAGGAGAAGAGCATGCAGGGGATGATGACGTTGACGATGAAGTACAGTGGGAGGCGCAGCATGAGGAAGTGGTAGGTGATGTCCAGGTAAGGGGTTTCCGGGCAGCAAGCATAGTACACCCAGTGCTTCCAGCCGCGGAAATCCTTCATCTCCCACTCTCCACTTTCCATAAAGTTACTCAGGTCAGGGCGGTCACTTTCCTGGTGAGGAGAAGCAATACTCAGGGTTAATAAAGGATGGTTTTTAAATCAAATTCCTTAATTATTTCTGTTCCTGTTTGCTAAAAAAGGCATTCAACTTTTGGCTGCGGTACGTTTGAACTTTGCATACATAATATCTTCTATAAGATATTATGGTTTTATAGTGTTTTTGATGTTGCAAAATGTTTCAGTTGTTGCATATATTAGTTAATTGTAAACAGAAATTACCTCCTTGGAAAGACTGCTTATATTCTAATATTTTACAAGAGGCTACTACTCCAATTGTGCCCCAAAAAACAGCATGAAAAAAAAGATTATAAATTGAAGCCATAGTGTATATTTTTTCTTTTTGTACCAATTTCTTAAGCAATAAAGGGGCCTCAGAGTTATTAGTGATGCTGTTCAAGGGGATGTCTGGTGCTTGATCTGATATATTTTGACATTGACTTTGTATTGTGAGAGGCATAGTTCGATATTTTGGGAAATACATTTGTTCTCTCTCCTGGGGAGAGCAAGATTAAAAACAAATTGATACCACCATCAATCTTCTCGGAAACAAAGCTAATAAGTGCAAATCCCTAAAGAAATGGGGTTGAATGAGTTAAATTACTGGATTGACGACAACCAGGGTTCCATCATAGGTCCAGGTCCCCAGCTTCATAGTGCAGTTCTGCAGGTCAAAGGGGAAATGCAGCACAATGATTTCACAGTAGCTCTTGAAGATGGCAGGCGGGTTCCA